TTGACACATTCCAATCAGCCTTAATGATAATAAATTAATAAATAAATTAATAAATTAGGCAATCAACTCACTTTTCAATAGTTTGAAGTATACAAAATGCCAGATCAACCCGCAAGTGAAGCCTAAAGAAAGCAGTGCTGACGAGAACATCAGAGTCTCCTTAAGAAGTCTTGACTCGATGTCAAACATATTAGTTTGTTTTGGCTTTCCTGTCTTTGTAGCGTTAGTCTAAAGATAGGATAAAATGGCGTATAAGAAAATGATCAATTTTCAATTAGGTGTGCAAGCTATCATTAAGCTTATCGCGTGCACTATGATTAGTTGAGAGGAGTTCTATATAAAGATATCTAAGTCAACAGTGCAGACTCATTTAAACTATTTGCGCAGAAATCACWACATAATGACAAAAACTATTTAATTTGTTTTACATTTTCTATTTCAAAAGACTTATCAACAACAAATAGAACATTTCATGGCCCGCAGATACATAGCATAATAGCAGGAGCCGACGGGGTCTGTTCTTCTAAATAACTGTTCTTGTACGAAATTTTTCCTGGGAAAGGGATTTTGAGCTACGTCTTCCAAGCAAATAAAGCGCCCTTCTTCAAAAGAATTTTGCTCCTAGCAAACCTTTTTATGGTCAAAAAAGGCGTATATAACGTTTTTATGGCTAAAAACAGCTTATATATATCTTTTACTTGGGAAATTTGTACGTTCCTGGCAATAATTTTTAGAAAGTATTCCTTGCCTGGAGAGTTTTTTTCCTGAATTTCTCGCTGGCAACCAGTTGTGACTTACAGCTGGCTGGAACATAGGAACAGATATATTTCTCCCAGGAACACGTCGGCTCCTCCTTCAATAGTAACATACTGCACTTCACTCACTTAATCACGGTCAGTATGCTATCATTTTCTAACGATTTATTACGCAGCTTCAACCAATCAGTCTGCCGCATGTGACAAAATCCAAATGTCGCAGAAGAAGCACGTGTGCAGTGTTAGTTTATCTTACATTTATTGTTTTTATTCCTTGTTTGATTGTGTTTGTGATGTTGGCAATGTTTAGCTTCATGTAATCTCTACAGCGATCTTTTACGACTGCAGCAGCACCAGACAGTACAATACCTACGAAAATATCATCCAAATATCACTTTTTGTCGGCATATTGCATCCCTAACACAGCCATTAATACCAGATTATTTGAGATAATCATATCATATTGAGTACTTCCTTATTTTATTTCTTTTGTTTTCGACTAGCGCTTTTTTGCACAATTTAGGATTTCACGCTTTGACTTAAAGCACTCATGAAGCAAAAATATTTTTTTAAGTAGAGTTATCGCACTTAAACCGTGCAACTGTACAAACTAAATAAATAGTGCTATTTAGTTGTATTTAGTAATTCGTGCACGCGGTACGCAATTAAATTGAATTGATAACAATGAAGTATTCAATAGAGTGATCGCACTTATAAAGCGTGCAACTGTGTACAAAATCTAAGTAGTATTAATTTGTACTAAAAGTGGACCTGAAGCAAGACGGTAATGAATCATTTGTATCAATTCAATTTAAATTAGTACTCAGATTTTGTACAGTTGCACGGTTGAAGTGCGATCACTCTATAAAAACTTTTTGTTTATTTTCATTCTTTGTTGTTCTTGGTTGATAATGAGTAAAAAAAAGGTAAAACTTGTTAAAATCATTTTTAAAAGTAGACTTGAAACTGATGAATTAATATATTCCAATAAAAACAAACAAATTTTAATCTTTTGATTGTTTTTTCAGACTAAAGGAAATATCCAAGTTACATGAAATTACCCGCGATGCACCTGATATACACCTATTTCAAAAAATGTTGTTGTGGCCAGGACACAGTCCACGGTCTTGAGCCTGAAAAGAATATCGGGATTGCCATAATATAAAAATTAGGTAACACCTAATAGCGGAGCTCCAATAGCAATATAGAAGCTGAAAATGATTATCTAGTACTGCCATTTCAAAGTTAGATGCTCTGTTCTAAGGAATGTGAGCTACAACAGTTTTGTTGACATGCGAACAAATATTATAAAGAGTATGTTCATGAGAATTTAGTTCGTACTAATATTAACTTCGGTAGATTTTCTTCCGTTGGATGAAGTTTAAAATTATAGTCTATTGMTTAAAAGTAAACTGAAAGCTTCTCGGCAAAAAGTAGTCTACATAAGCTAACAATAATCAACATTGTTTCAATAATCGATGTTTGAACCCGGACTACTCGAACTTCACATAATCACAGAAAACTGTATACAAAAATATATTTTTTACCTTCATTATCGAACTTTCGATAAATTATCGTTCAAAGGTCATCTTCAACAGAGCCATACTTGTTTCAAGCATAGGTTTCATCAATTT